TGGTGGCAATCTTGTGTCTCCGCCTGTATTCTACCTATATCCATGAACCTTTACCTACCTCTCTCCAACCAGTTGCATATAAGCCTGGTAGCCACCCTTTCACTCCACATCTCCCCGAAGTCACCAGATCCTAATTGTTCCTCCTTCCTAGACCCCAAGTCCCTCAACTTCCCCCAAGGTCCATTGCCTCTGCCCTAGGCCAGGCTATCCCTCCTTTATACTCATCTCCCCACCTGACCTCCTGGCCTGGACTCTTTTCTCCTCTCTGGGTCAATCTCCACCCTATAGCCTGACTCATCCTTGCAAACATCCCTGTTATGTCCCTTCTACAATCTTATTGCTCCTTCAGGGTCTCCAGCCCCCATACCCTATGCCGTCCAGCCTTTGCTCACACAAATCCACAACAGGCTGAAAAGGGGAAACACCAGGGTCAAGAACTGAATCATCTGGGGCTTCATCTCTGTCCCCATTGTGATCTCCGGGACCCTTTTCTACTATGGGGGGGCAACTCACCACTAGAAAAGGAATCTCCCTGTGAACACAACCAAATGGCCCAGCTGTGAGGGATCCTAAAAGATGCTTCCAAAGCTAGGGCCTCCAGGGACTGGTCCTGGTTTTCACATTTTCAGCCCAGGAGTGAACCAGGAAGTTCCTTGATTGAAGAAGGGTAAAACTCTCTAGTTGCTGGCTTCCCTCAGGGACTTTGTTGTTTTGATTGATGATGTCACGTGCCTTACTTCTGGGATCCATTTGTCCACTTTTCTTTTTTTTTACAGCCCAGGACCTCCCTAAAATATCTGAAACAGGCTAGTTTTTTCCAAAGGAATTTTTGCTAAAAAACAACCAAGAAAAGTAGGGGGGGAAAAGAGAAATAAATAATAGAAAACACAAACAAGACAGGGTTCCTTCTCCAAAGCCTGGTCCCAGCTTCAGATTAATTACATTCTAGGCCCCCAGGCTCCTTTCCTAGGTTCAATATCACAAAGCTTTCAGATGTGGCCAGCACACTCTTATTTATTTATCTGTTTTTTGCAAAAAAATTTCAATCCTAAAGAGAAAAACTGAAAACATAAAACAAAAAACCTCCATCTGTAAGTTGAGACAAAACCCATTTCTGTCTTATACCTCGTTCTCTTTTCTTCCTTTTTCCTTCTTCTCTTTTTCTTTTTACATTTGCTTATTTTGTGTGTGTGTGTGTGTGTGTGTGTGTGTGTGTGTGTGATGGGAAGGAGACACATGTGCCATGGCTCATGTATGAAAGGTTAGAGTCTGTTCTCTCCTCCTACCCTGTGGGTACCAGGGATCAAACTCAGGTTTTCTGTCTTGGTAGCAAGCATCTTTACCCACTGAACCATCTCACTAACCCTCCCCTCCCCTCTCCTACTCCCCCACCCTTGTTTCTCTTTTTTTCAGATAGGGTCTCATGTAGCCCAGACCTGTCTTGAACTTCTGGCCTTTCTGCTTTTGCCCTCCAGTGTTAGGATCACAGACATACTCACCAGAAGGCTTTCTTGCAGGAAAGAATGGGATGCTGGATACCAACAGAAGGGACACTCTTGGCCTTAGGCAATCCCAATATACTTCCAGTATGCTTTTTTTTTTTTTCTTTTTGAGACAGGGTCTCCCTGTAGCCCCAGATGACCCAGAACTCACTGTGTAGACCAGGCTGGCCTCTAACTCACAGAGATCCACCTGCCTCTAGGCCTCCCAACTGCTGGGATTAAAGGCATGTACCTGGAACTTGAAATGTAGACCAGGATGACCTCAGTCTCACAGAGATCCACCTACCTCTGCCTCCTGATTGCTGCTGACTCCCATGAGTTTCTTTAATTACAACAGCCACACTAGAAAATCTCATCCTGATTTGCTTTGGCATTTCTGACATGGTCTGGGAGACCTCTCTTCTTTAGGGATGTATGAGAGCAGGAGAGAGGTGGGATCTAACACACATGAAATCCTTAACATGTGGTGCCACACCTGGTGGTACTAATGTTGGATCATACCCAGGGCTTCGTGCATTTTAAGTGAGCACTCTCCCAACTGAGCTATATTCCCAGCCCCCATTATTATTCAGTTTTTTTTTTTTTAATCTTTTTGAGATAGGGTCTCCCTATAGCCCAGGCTGATCTGGAACTCACTGTGTAGACCAGGCTGGCTTTGAACTCACAGAGATCTGCCTACTTCTGCCTCCCAAGTGCTGGGATTAAAGGGGTGTGCCACCACCCCCGGCTAGGCTAGGAGAGGGTATCGGATTCCCTGGAACTGGAGTTATGGACAGTTGTCTTGTCAGGAGCCATGTGGGTGCTGGGAATTGAACCCAGTTCCTCTGCAAGAGCAGTCAGTGCTCTTAATAGCTGACTCATCTCTCCAGTCCTCCCCCATTATTATTATTATTATTATTATTATTATTATTATTATTCTCATTCTTAGTCTTCCTCCTCCTCCTCTTCCTCTTCTTCCTACTCTTCCTCTTCCTACTCCTCTTCTTCCTCTTCCTTGAGACAGGGTCTCACTATGTAACCCTGGTTGGCCTGTAACTTGCTGTGTAGACCAGCTGGCCTTGAACTCACAGAAATCTTCTTGCCTCTGCCTCAAGAATGCTGGGACTAAAGGGGTGTGTCACCAAGCCTGGTCCTATTTGTTCTTTAAGGTATTGAACGTCAACTATGCGGATGACACTGGCCTGGGAGATAGAGGTGAAAGGCTTAACACACACAATCTAGGGAAAGTGAAGGAGTCTGGTCCTGCCCCCAGCATTAACTCCTGCTCTGCCTCAGGTCTCTGAAGCCTTTAAATGGGGGCTTTAGGCCAGGGCTCCTCCTAAGGAGAAGAGGTGAATGTGGACATGGGACATGTTCTTAGCACCTGTCACACATTTATTGTGGTTAGTATAATGACCTCAAACACCTGAGAAGGAGCGCAGACCTGAAGAAATGAGGCAAGCAGATGAGGATGCTGCAAACGGAAATATTTTGAGGAAGAAACTTTTTTTACTTACTTGCTTTGAGGTAGGGTCTCATGTAGCCCAGGATGACTTGAAACTCCCTGTAAGTGTGAATGACCTTGAGCTCTTGAGCCTCCTGCCTCCACCTCCAAAGTACTGGGCTTACAAGTATAGGCCACTCTACCCAGGGTAGGTAAGAACTCTACCAACGAAGCTATATCCCCAGGCCCTTTCCCCCCTCTTCTGCAGGTAGGGTCTCATGGAATCTAAGCTGGCCTGAAATTTTCTATGTAGCTGAAGATAATCATGAACTTCTAATCTTCCTGTCAGGTTCATGAAAAGACCAGGACCACTAGAGACCACTCTGAGGCGAGAAAATAAGAAATTTATTGGAAGGGAAGAGCTGCTGGACTGGCCTGTTCCCCTGGGGGAGAGAAAGCCAGTAATTTCTTGTCACAGCAGGCTGGGTTTTGTAGGATTTCTTTCTTTTGTGGGTTCACCAAGTTGCTGGTCAGTAATGACTCCATCTTGGGGCCCCGTTTGGCCTAACAGTTCCTGCCTCTACCTTCCAAGTAGGCTCTTTTACACAAATTTATGTATTTGTGTGGCATGTGTGTGTGTGTGTGTGTGTGTGTGTGTCCACACATCATGTATGTGGAGGCCAGAGGACAACTTCTGGAAATCAGTTTTCTCCTTCCATCCTGTGGGGCAGGGGATTGAACTCAAGTTGGCAGCATCCTTACCTACCGAGCCAGCCCCCCCACCCCTGGTGGGCTTTTCTTCATTTATTATTTAAAAATAATGGAAACTATTCTAAAGCTCATGATCTATTCCTTGCAGTTTTCAGGTGACCTTTACACTGTAAGACAGACTTAGTGGTTCATAGAGTTGTAGGCCAGAGAAAAGGACCGAATTGCACATCCAGTACTGCCGCCTGTCTACGGGTCAGGTGAACTAGTCAGCCTATTTGTGTGTCAGCTCAGAAATGGAGAGTCATGTCAGATATGTCCCAGTATGTTCTTGGTGGGATCTCCAGGAAAGAAATTATGATAAACAGCAGCTATGTTGTCTGTACACCAGAATGTTTTTGCTTTCTTTTCTGGGTCAGAAGGGCTGAGGGTTCACAGTTTGATACGTGGCCAAAGAACACTTGAGAATCTGAGGCTTTCTGAGGTTAAAAGGGAAGCAATAGACACCTGCTATTTGCATGGTGCTTTAGGCTGTCTGGTTGACAAAGCGTTTTCAGATATCATCACAACGGATCCTTAGCACACCTGTGCAGTGAAATTAATGCCCCCATTTTATAGGCAAGGAAACAGGTCATAGAACCAATCAATGTAAAGAGTACATTTATTTATTTACTTATTTAATTGCCCCAGTTATCCATAGATTTTTTTTTCTCAGTATTTTATGATAAGGGAACGTCACAAGGTAACCAAAATGCAACCGTCTTTCCTGGGGATCTCTCCTACCCTGGCACAGACCTCAAACTCAGCATCACCCACCACAGTGAAGGACCATCTTCACGTTTATTGTGTAACAATATCTGGGTGTAGTTTGGAATGGCTTGGCTTTCCTAAAGGAAGCTGTGTTCATTTGGGAATAGCCAGTCAAGAATCAACTTTTATGTCTGTTCTTATTTTTGAGACAAGATCTTGCTGTGTAGCCCACACTGCCACAGACTAGAAAGCTTCCTGCTATAGACTCTGGGGTACTGGGATGATAGATGCATGCCACTCTGATGGGTTTCCAGATTCAACCTTTTTATTTTTAACTGTCTGAGGGGTGAGGAACATGAAAAAGAACTGTCTAGAGCATTAGCAGGGGGAAAATAACCATTTAAAAGCTCCTCTCCACCCATAACAACTACAAGAAGCTGGGTGAGGTAAGGGTGTGCACCTTTAATCCCAGTACTCAGGAGGCAGAGGCAGGTAGATCTCTTTGAGTTCAAGGCTAGCCTGGTCTACAGAGCAAGCTCCAGGCCAACCCAGGCTACAGAATGAGACCTTCTCAGAACAAACAAACCAACCAAAACATTAAAGCTTTCCCATGGGGCATGGAGGCCCACACCTGTAATGTAATCCCAGCACATAAGAGGCAGAGGCTGGAGGCTACATGAGCCAGCCTAGACTACCAGAGAACCTGTTTAAAACAAAGAAACAGGGCAGGTAATACAGCTCTGCTGGTAAAGGTGCTTGCCACCAAGCCTGACAACCTGTTCAATCCCTGCCCTGGTGACTCACATGGTAGGAGAGAACTAACTCTTGAAAGTTGTTCTCTGACCTCCACATGTGTGCCTTGGCATGTGCACACACACACACACACAGTAATAAATGTAAGGAAAAAAAATGAAAACAAAGAAAAGCTGGAGACATAGCTCATGACTGGCCTGCCCATATCCCGAGTTCAATCCTGAATACTGACAAGAAACAAAACAAAACAAAACAAAAACAGAAGTATAAAGGAAGGGCAAAAAAAGAAAAAAAGCTTTCGACATAAAACCAGGTAGCTGTTCATCAGTCCACCAAGCTGTTTGACACTCTCTCCTCCTTTTGCAAGGGGTGCCGGCATTAGGGTGGGGTGGTCCCCGATTGACAAAGGAAGCTCCCCTCTGCTAAAGGTCTCTTTTCTTGGTCAAAGCGCTCATTGTATATAGAGCCTGCTGGGAGGCAAGGCCTCAGAGTGTTGGGGGACTGGGTTCTGATCAGTTCAGTTTGGGCGGAATCATGGAAGACCTGCCAGTGGGGTTGGATTGGGTAAGAGAGCCACTTTTTCTAGCTCAGTTCCCAGCTGGGTCTCAGACTGGTGAACTGGAACACGTGGGGTCTTCTGGGCCCCAGGGCCTGCGGGCTCTAAGCCAGCAAACACCCTCACCACGAGGTGTCCTGTCGCCTGCGCTGGCTGCATCGGAGAGTTTGCACCCTTCAGCAGGGCGATCATGTGCTTGAGGTCACATAGAGGGGTGTCCCCAGGGGCAGAAGCAGGAAACGAGAACCTGTCTCAGGGTGGACAGGTGCGGGGGGGGGCACTCGGAGTGAGCGCACCGGCCCCCACCCCGGTTCACCCCCAAGCCTGAGTGTGCAGCCGGAGGCCGGTGCTGGTAGCCCCGGAGTCCTCGACCCCCGCAGCCCGTCGCCCGGGACCGCCGCGCTCGGTCCTCCGGGGCCCGCTCGGCGTCGCTCGGCCGGCGCTGGGGGCGGGCACAGCCCCCTCCCTCGGCGTCCCCTCCCCCGGCGTCCCCTCCCCGTCCCTCCCCCTCCCCCGTGGCGAGGCGGCGGCGGCG